GAAAGCCAAGCATTTATATAAATTGTTTGGGGACTTTTTTGAATCTTCCGAGTTGCAAAGTCAGCAGCATCGCTCAAATCAATGAATTAGTGTCTTAGTGCCGGAGGTTCGATGAAGTTTTTTCAACATATATACCATTTCCTAAAATCGGGTGTTTGCTTCTCATTTACTGGTAAACTGGCTAGGTAATGATATAGATGGATTCCATACTTTGCTGGATGGTTAGTTATGTCAACAATACGACATAACATGTGACATATATTTTTACATGGGCTAGTCATGGATATCACAGAAGTATTACTACCAACCCGGTGCTCGATGTAAGATACATTTAATAGATGCGTATAAAAACATATCACTATGAGGGAGTATGTTGGTTTTAAGAAAGTCGTGTCAAAACTTATAGGTTACTTTTCAGTTCACCCGTAAATGTCATGGACTTACTTTTCTAAATATTCCAATTGGGACCACGGACGTGAATACTAACACATCTTTATCTGTGGTGTTTGAATGAACTAATGATTCCTTTGTATTTGTTGAATGTTTGATTTCGAATTCTAAATACAGTACATTCGTTCGTGCTTATCTAGTAGTTCTTGATCCATTTACGTTATTTCTGGGATTATTAGTTCATACTATAATTAAAATACTTCTAATTATCATATCATCCCTTACTTATACTGATTTAAGCATAAATACTGAATATAGACGGTCATCAACCCACAATATATCGGTTACGTTGGTTAGATCATTATCCTTTGCTGAATAAAATCATTTCACTATTCATAAACAGACCGCCAAAACACTTTCCTTTTCGTGGAATTACTTAACGGTCCAAATAATTTACGTAAAACGAAAGCTTACGGGGTAAAAGTGACGCAAACCGATACTCCTCTTAATATAATCATCCGAATAATATGGGTAGTCCATTAAACTGTAACCATAAACTCGACCATGACTTTCCATGTTACCTCAAGCACTAAAAGTACTAACAACTCATCACATATGATTGTTATACACAAATAACTTCATGCACAAATTTTGTGAAGAAACCATTTCTAGTTCCGTTGAAAATGCAATTCTACATAAGAGTTTCGCTTATGCTTACACAATATTCACAATATTTATACAGATATTATGGTATTTAGAAGAATTTCGGTTCGACATTAAAAGGTATATGTAAATGATCAAGCAGCTATGTCTGTGAAAAAGAATAAAAATGAACAAGACCACATTTACTACATATAGAATTTAAAATAAATCATATATACAGTAACTTTTGATAGTAGACTAAGTATTTGGACATTAATAGTTCGGAGTTACACCATGAATTTTATTAATGACAGCCCCAAGTGCTACAGAAGCCAGTTTGCTGTTGCATATAACGTGGAAATCCTCTAAAAATAGTCTCAAGCAATTTCATACTCCTAGCTTAAAACAATCGACTGCGCCAATCACTCACTAGGTTAATAAGCCCCACAACACTCATAAAAACCAGACCCCACCTAGCCTCTAAGAGAGCTATTTAAACCCATTGCGTCACTTAATTACGTCTGTCACTCCTTGGCTAGCATAGATTGCCAGCTGGGAATCTTTGGCTAGCCTTTTCTGGGCTCGCCTTTCCATTAATTACTAATTACTATTAGTAGTCTTGCGTGTCCTTATCTTTTTGGAGTGAGGGATAAAATACTGTTTCCGTATTCTAAATGGGGACGAATAAAACTTCTGAAGATCATGTGGAAAGTTTTTCCGTCAAACTGGTCAAAAATGTGCTTCAATGTTACCAAAGCAAGGTTTGCTGGAAAGGCATTTTTGTCATAGTTAGCGTAAGACTTTAAATTGTACAACAGCAGGACTATTTAATCTTTTTCGACTCAGGATATTACTAGAAAGGAGTTTCCTAAGTCGTAGCTGTAGTCTGCAACATGTTGCAGACGGACCACTTTACACTTTGAAGTGTTCAAGGTAAGTCCATTGTCATTTTTTCAACTTTGAGGTCGAGTCAGCGTATCCTCCCGGCTACGTATCTCTCTCCATAGTTTCAAATCATCAGCAGAAATTAATAAGTCAGTCGATATCTGTCGTGGATAATTGTTTATATAAATCACGAAAAGAAGAGGTCCTAATACCGAACGCTGGGGGACCACACTAGGACATTCCATAGACTGAGAGAAAGTGATTTTAACTCTGACCTTAAAATGTCGATTGTTTAGATATGAAGTGAGCCAGTCAATTAAAAGTGATTTTATACCCAATTGCCTGAGCTTATTGATAAGGCATATATGGTTAACCCTATCAAAAGCTTTTGAGAATTCAAGGTAAATGATATCAACTTTTCACTTTAGCTCAAGGATGCTTGTCCATCTATACGCCTCAGTCAGCATGTTGGTTATACAAGAGTAACCCTTCCTGAAACCATGCTGTTGAGGTGAAAAGAAGTTTATGGAGAATAAATAGTCATGTATACCATCGTATATCAGGGACTCCATGATTTTCGACCTTTGAAAATTAGTGTGATATGAGCCTGCTTTCAATTTTCCGGTAGTTTACTATGGCTTAGCGGATGTGAGAACATCACGCTAGGCGGTGTTTCCAGGGTTGAAGCTGCTTCCCTAAGTATAGCAGAATGAACAAGATAAATAGGCCAGGAGAAGAGCCTTTTCTTAGGTACTTCAGTTTCCGGAACACTGAGTCAGTACTCAAGTTCATTTCTGAAAGTCCTGTGCAGTTGTAGTTGAAGCTGTCATTCGTAAAGTTGATGTGGATCGGTTGAAATGTCCAAGAGTGTTGTACAGCCAAAAGTTTAGCGGCGTCACCGTCGCTATTGGTCGGGCTATTAGGACCTAGCAGTTGATAAAATCCTGCTTTGGCCTGTCGAAAAGAGGATACATAACGGAATAAACGTTTTGGATTGGAGAAAAATTTATCCATAGGCTTTGTCTGGTACTGAAGCCTGTCTTCTCTTATAGCCTTCGTGCATATGTTCCTTATATGTTTGTACCACCTGTACGCGCCGTTGTTATCAGTTCGTTTGTAGTCTGCCCAACAGTGCCTTTTGCGGCCTAGCAAACAAAGAGTGCGGTTCTTGATGACTGTAGGTTGCTTGTAGATTTTGGGGACCGTTGGAGGAACTGACTGCTTTGTATCACATAACAGCTTGTGCAGTAAGAAATCCCAATGAGCATCCACATCAAGTTGAGGGTGAACATCCCAATCCACCTGTTACAGATAGTCCTATAGAGCAGACACATTCAACCATTTGACATTCCAGAGCTTGTTGTTGGTGGGATATCTTAGCTCAGTTTTGCTAACAGAACTGAAGGCTATAACGGCTTGATCGCTTTACCCCGGTGGAGCCAGAATTGAGAGGCTGTCAATTAGAATTTCTTCGTTTGTAAATACATACTCTGAGCGCGACAGTGTCTGACTTTTTCTCCAACGAGTTGCCGACTTTACATTTTCGTATAATCCCAAATCCTTAATGAGGTTGAAGAACCGAGCTTCAGTTGAGTTTTCACCTCCAATATACGTATGTTCCACGAAACTGACTCTAGGGAGATTGAAGTCCCTTAGAATCAGGATATGAGTGAAACCGAGACGCGTAAAGCAGAATGGTCTTTTCAGAATACGACTGTCACACTCGATGTCGGCAGTGGGCTTCCTATATATGACTCCGACTAGTCACCTCGAAGCATCATATAATTTTTGTCCTGCAAACTGAAAGGAAGGTCAGGGTTGTCCCTGAGGTTCATGATTCTGAAAAAGCCATTACAAGCCGTTATTGTTTTCCCAGGTTTTCCGATGCGTCCAGGTTCAACACCTTGTTGCTTGGAGGTTGAAGCACGTTTCTGAATCTTAGGCTTTTTGATGACCAGACGGCCATTCTTGGGGGTCGACTGTGCTATCAAATCACGAGTTGATTTCCGTACAACACTTAGGATGTTCAGCTCAGACGGTGACGCCTGGTCCTTTTTAAGCTCTGTTAACGTGGGTCCAATCACCTACAGAGTTTTTGGGAACCACTATTGCATTCGAGGACTCTGAGCTGGGAGACCCGAGTTTACTGAGGGAGTCTATTACCGTCGACGTAATGATGGTTCTGAGTTCCAACATGTCATCATTAGTGCTAATGAATGCTCCATCGATGGTAGACCTGTCGACATCCCTATTCTTGTTTTCGTTGCTCGACCTTGTTTGTCCACCCGTTTTATGACTGTCCTTTTCTAAGTTTTCTGACAACTTATTCCGCAGACCTGTCAATAGGACAATGATGTCACTCAGCAAAACTACAGCATCCGTGCTGCACGTAACACATACCCAATTATGATCCGACTTGCTGAGTCTGTTGTAAGCAGTTGCTGTGAGATCTGTACACGCATCATTGAAGCGAACTTTGTAGTTGTCGCACTGCATACCAGATGTAACAGCTAAACGGAATCCAGGTCGTTTGCATGAATTTTTCATGACTGTGTTGACGTAAACTGTATTATAAATGCTGGCAAAAATTTAAGACCGTAAAAACCACTTAAAACGGGAAAAAATTGAAAAAAAACGGATAACATAAACTGAACTAGACATTACGTGAAAAACTGAAAAAAACCGAATAGTAAGCTGAAGCAAAACCACAGTTAATTATTAAATTGGGTGAAACTCGAAAAAAGTAATCTACCGAACGCATAGCTCAAAATAGATTCTTTAGATTAGAAACGGTACTTTTGTTGTGTATGAATACTGCAAAAGTTTGAGAAACACAAATCACGTTAGAACAAAACTTCCCGTTCGAAAAGCGCGTGTGCTTTTTCCAAACCGTTTGTGTGGTTCAAACTGCAATAAAAATGTGATAGAAATCGGTATAATGTTACTAAAATGGTCTAATAAGGGCATTTGATGTTTACTTTCAAAAATTTGAAAAGTGATTATGGTGTGTTGTTTGGATAAATCAGTTAGTTAATGAGTGCATGTAACCTTTGCAAGAATCCTTTCAATTGCATGTTTTCGAGATGAGTTCTTTTATTGACTATGTTTGTCAATACAGTGGCAAAGTAGGTTAGATTTTTTATCATTACAACTTTTTCAGAATGAATGGGTATATCAGTGGAATCAATATATACCTTCGTTTCCTGATTGCGGGAGCGAAATTCTATTCCCCTTTCTCCTTGTTATTTTCACACTTGTGGGACTATTGCCGTATACTGCTATCCTAATATGTTCAAAATCAAGTCACAGCCGTTTGATTTCGTGCTTGTATTTGGGCAAATCGGTAAGGAAGTTTGATTTAATTCCTTAACTTTTCATAGGGTCTGGTTTGCATTTCTCTTCTTCTTAATGCCGTTGGGATCCTGTATGTCGTATTGGAAATTCAAGAATTCAGCTTATATTCGTTTTTTAGACCTGCTTTTATATCACTTTCACTCGTGAGTGTAACAATTTGGTTTATTATGTGGTGTAAAATAATCTGTTCAGTTAATTTACTTGATCGTAATTCTTTTTAGTCATAATTCCGCATGAATATGAATCGGTGGTATTTTTTCGTGCATCACCATTAATGTAATAAAATGCCAAGACATGGTCTGTCTGTATTTACACCGAAAGCAGGTTTAACCAGTTGCTTATTGTTACTGGAAAAATGTAGTTTTATTTCTCTTGTTTCGTATATAACTAGGATGTAGGACAAAAAAGGTTTCTGATTACTTGCTGCTAACATCTCAAAGTTTATCCCTCGGGATAAAGAAATAAATTCTTCATCACAAATAGATATGATATTAGTCCTGTCTATCGTTTCTTGACATAAGATAGAAAGGTTAGGTAGATTATTCCAGTTTATCCCGTTTTCTGAAGTTGATTTCTTGTATAAATCCCTAAAAACACCATTGTAGTTGTTTATCTAATTCTAACGACTGTACTGGTTAAGCAAACATCAATATATCAGACTTCTGTATCATTTCACACAACTTGGGCGCTTAGGGAGCCTCAATACATATGATGATCTTTAATATTAATATCGTTGATTTGTGAAGCTATTTCACTAATAATCTTTAATTCTATTCCTGGAACGTAACTTTTAAGAACAATTTTCAAGTTAATTGATTTCCTCAGAATCAGCAGCTTCACGTACTTCATCAGGATGCCTCGTCAATTTCTAGGTATTTCCTACACTGGGACTTTTTAATTACAGAAATCCCTTAGAAGTTCAATATAAAAGTAAGAATTTGTGTCAAGTAGAATTTTAGTGAGTGGTTGTTTGATATGATAGGATACTTAAGGGTCATATTCTCAAGCGTTAAGTAATAGGTGTGAATTAATTCCCGTACTCCATGGTGCTAGATCAAAATTGTATATGTTAATAGTTCGGGTGGTTTGACAGGATATTAATATACTTTTATCTAGACATAATAGGTGCTCCATGTTTCACCTGAAAGAAAATCTATCATCAATGAAGCAGACAGTGGTTGAATTTTAACAGAAAAGCTATTTTAAATGACCGATAATTCCATTAGTATTAAGCAGGATGTTTAAGAATTACGAAAAGACTTGTATTTATTAAAAATTAATAATTAGTCTGTATAAATCATAACAATATAAGGAATTCAACACGGAGAACTACTCAAGTTTGGCATGTAATTAGTGAATTCCTGGGAATGAGTAATTTTCCTAACACAAATACTTATTCTGTTGGCTTTCGAAGATGAAGTAAACATCAAGTCGACTTGAACCTACGTAAAGAAATGCGAAATCATGAACAAACTGCATAGCTTTGAAAGTTGTCTACAATGTTTAATTGTTTTCAATTACTTTCTGAGTGGATAACAATCAAAATCTCCGTAAACGTTTGAAAGTGGGCATCATAATAATTGTAAAACGTTCGTTTGATAAACAAGTATTCGTGATATATTGTGAGATTTTTATTGCTGATATATGAAAGTTTCTTTACTATCTTCGGGCTAAAATTGCCGGATGAATATAAGCTGTGCACGTTTATCAATCTTTTAAAGTTTGCCAAAATGTGGAGCATCTGTCTCGATAGTATGGTTGCTGATCTTGAAACCATATAATCTTGTAAAACCTATCATTTATCACCAAATGTCGATCATTGTGACTGCATTGGTTTATGTTGTAGTTCGATTGTAAATTTGATTGGTTCATTTATGTTGAGTTCCAAGACTGATTATCGTGATATTTGCTACCCTTCGACAATTAGTTTATATCTCTGAAGGGTAATCATTGTAAAGAATATGTATGTATATTCATAAGACTATAGAATTTTTTGGGTTTATGTGATTGCTTAGACTACTCAAGAATGATCTTGTTTCAAATAAAGTTAAATCAGCAAGTTGTGTTTTGAAGAATAATAATATACCACGTAGCATATTATCCAGATGCCAACAAGTGAAAAATCGTATTGTTGGTAAGTTATGCACGGGGTTTGTGAGAAATAACCTATTCCTATGGCGTCTACTTATTAACCCACAACTTCTATACTAAGCACAATGGGATTACGTAGTGTTATTTACTTTCTGTCGGATAGGGTTTAATTAAATCGAACAGAATAACTGTATTCAAGACTAAACAATTAATGCTTGCTAGAAAAGAATACCGACAGCGAATTTCTAACTGAGAATTCAGTTCCGAAAATAAAGGATGATGGTGATCAAATCAGTGACCACATTGGTAAAAGTGTTTGGCTAACTTGTTAGTTGTATAGTGTTAAACTATACTTTAACATCCGTCTTTCATATTTTTTAATTCATGTTGAACCCAGATTATTATCCGATTTCATGTGATAGAATAACTTATAGGTTCTAAAAAATGATTACTAGGAGCTTTTATAAGCCTAATAGACATTAAAACAGAGATAAACAAGAGTAGGCATTCTTTTAGTCAGTAACATTCAAGTGAAAAACTTGATCATTTTCGAACTTGAACTCAAAAGTTTTATGAAGCGATAATTATATTTAGCGCTAATGTATTTTACTGGAATTGAAACAATTACACTTTCTAGTATTTCATATGATATGATGTCAACTTTTAAACTTGGAAGTGATTTGATTTACATTTATTTTCGTTGAAAACATATTTTAGGTATCATTTATCATTGTTATGCATTATGAACGTACACGAAATACGCCAAATTCTGGTGTAAGCTTTTACTATTTATTATTGTTAAATCTTGTTTGGATTTGCTGTTGCTGGAATCACACTGTTCACTACATAAAGGTTAGAAATATATGTTATCTATTTTAATTACTGTCTTTTTTTATTCATTCCGTTTGTCTATAGTATTTGTTATTTACTCAACATGATGGTTGGCTCAACTGGTTAGGTTCATGTATGAATGCTTACGCGTGCAGGCCTTTTTAACTTATTTTAAATTTGTAGACTTATGTTCGATGTGTGGTTCTAATCTGAGCATGTAGTAGGCATATGAGAATAGTCCATTGATAGTGTACATGAATGTTAAGTCTATTTAAAAATTCTCTACTGATTTTATGAGTTCACATGTTCAATCTTTGGCATTCGTCATATTCGTACCGAGCTAACTTTAAGCATCTATGTCTTAAGTGCAGCTCGTTGATCAAATACACGTTTGTTCATCCTCGTTTAATCCATACTTGTGTGTAACGACTAAAACAGTACCCAGTTATTCAAACCAAAGTAATCTGAGGGAGTTTAAAGCATGAAACTTGTCAGCAGACAATCAAGTCTATCATTCTAAATGGTCTATTCAATTGATTTTATCAATAAGTTTTGTTCTATTCTCTTACGATTTGTAATTCTTATAGTCAGAGAATATTATACAAAATGAAGTCTTCTTTTACTGTTTTGGTACATGTCAGAACTTCCCATAGTATAAAGTTACTGATACAAAAAACTAGCTTCAAACCTTTCAAATACTTTTTTTTGTGTAAATTAAATTCCTGTATGCCTGTGACGGGTTGAAATTCTGGAAGAAAATCCACATCAACACTGTGAAAGCTATTGCAGATTACAATCGATATTATTTACAGTCGTATAAAGGAGGAGATACTGTTTAGCCCTAAAAAATAAGTTTTATTACTCGATTGGTTTTTGTTTCTACGCCGAGTAAACCTATTCTTACTTACTTCCTTACGCCTGTTACTTCGAATGAAGCATAGGCTGCCGATCAACATTTTCCAACTCATTCTGTCCTGAGCATTCCGTTCTAGTTCTTTTCAATTTTTATTCATTTTAATGTCAGTCCGTGATGATAAAATCTATTCATGAAACTTATTAATTGTCGCATTTAAACCCCTTATGTCAATCAGAATTTTATTATAACTAACCAATTTTATTCGGATTGTTTAAAATGTCATTTAAGGTTGGAGCTATGATATACTTAAGCTAACATTGTTTTCATTATTATTTGAATCACAATTCTTTCGTAAATATTTACTATTGAATAATGAATTCATATTAATAAATTTTTATATTAAATAATTGATGTTCTCTGCAGAATTTAAACACAACTCATATAGTATCGTAGTCAGAAGCAACACTGAAACTAAAGTTCAGTAGACCTGACATTAATTAATAATGATATATACATGCACTCACACTTTAATATTTATACGACGACATACTTCTTCAATGTACAGATTATTAGTGAATTAAGTAGTAAAAGTTAGTTTATATTACGAAATAACATTTTCTATATGATCATTGAAAACTAGAAAAAAGTTAATAACTGTTTTATTCTAGTACATATATTTTTAATAGTACGCATCTATAGTTCTATCAGGAATTGAACCCATAACTTTTAGGTCACGTTCAGAGTGTTGTTAACTTTACGTTATTGAGTTGAAATCCATTGCGTTGTGAAGTAAATCAGATCAAACCAGCTCAGTTAATCCTAGTGTCTGGCTACAAGATGAATCATCACAGTTCTAATGAAAATCACTAGCTAGTAGTATACAACTGATAAAATAAGTAAATGAAAGGTAGATTTGTACAGTATAGATAATTATGAGAATATAGTCTTCATTTTTGGTAAATTTACCGTATAAAGTGATGTTATTTAATGTTTGACTGTAACATTTTTCATCATCAGTAGTTTTAAGTAAAACTAGATGTTTATCACATTGGTACTGTACACGTATTTTCTAGTAACTCAAACTGGTGGGGATATTGTAGTTTGATTAGTGAGACTAAATCAACTTTAAAGAATAAATAAACATTACATTGATTACTCCGCAATGCAAATATTTTATTCCTATAGACGGTCAATTTTGAATCAATGGTTACTTCTCTGACTAATGATACTGGTTGACGAAGATCCACATATCACGGGAAGCATTAAATTTCTCAACGTTGCAAATACACCATGTTGATAAGTTTTAAATAGCACGAGATAGTACAGGGCAATATCAACTGGCTATAATCACAGATATCTTTCAGTGTATGTATCATACATACATATATTCATCAATATAACTGTTTATCAATATATTTTCTAACCATATATATGTAATATTTAATCGTTTCTCATCTTTTTCAGTATTCACAGAATTCTACAATATTGTTCACAACAATCAATCATACCTTTGTTATTCCTAATAATAACAATACTACACTTCTTTTTAATTCAACAATACGAAACAAAGAGAATTTCCTTAATATTTTAGATTATATCAATTTACTTATCTCTTTTATTATTTTCATATTAAACTGTAATTCAGAACGTCGTCAATGTTTAAAAACTAATAAAATTATCAATATAACAAAACTGAACCCAAATATAATTACTGATCATGTTAATAATAATAATAATACCATCAATCCAAATGATGATAAAGATCTTACAGAGCATTTAACTAATCAAATAAAAGTGAATGATAGTGATGAAAATGTAGAAATACAAAATTCACAAGTAAGTAGTAATTACACTTTATCTAGTGTGTACATTTACAGTCGTTTATTATTTATTTATTTATTTATTTATTTATGTAAAGACAAATATTCGTACAAAGAAGCATTGAATACATATACACCACACAAGTCAAATGATTTGTGTAAAGACTGGGTTACTGTCTGGGTGCTCAAACTTAAGCAGGTGGTTTTATTAGGAGGGGGACCATACTACGAGCTTTTGATGTAAAGATATAATTGTTTTTGTTTGAGCCCCCAAATGCCCTTGTACGGCCGAGAGTGGGGAGAGTTCGCTCTCCCTCTCGAAATGTTCTCACACGGTCGCACGTACATGGCCTCTGCCAAGGAAGTCCTACTCACTGCATTCTCGTGGCGGGGGTGTTGTTTACGAAAATGAGAGGACGAAAAGTGAATGTCCGGCGCTATAACCGGATCCCAAACCAATGGTGCATGTGGGCTCCAGTATCCTTAGGGAACAAATGGCGTATGATTCGATTGTTGGTCACCGGCTCCCATGGGACTGCATCTCCTTACGATGCTCCACTGACTTGTGGATCAGACGTTCAGGTCGAAGGCTCGGGGTGTGGCCCCCTAAGAAAACTATCTGGTTCGGTTCGGGCACCCGGGTAATATCACAGCCCTCACACAAATCAATTGAGATTCGTGTGGCGCATATGTATTTGGTGCCTTCTTGTACCAATATCTATGGGTTAAAATAAAAATAAAATAAATAAAAATGATATAATCCACAAGACGGGGTGTAGCAACGTCAGAAGATGCAGTTCTATGTTAGCCAGTGATTAACGATTGATTCATACACCACTGGTTGCTTCAGGTTCCTGGAGCCTGTGTGCATCATTGGTTTGTAATGAGGGTTTCCCAACTCCCCTAGGTGGATCCTCCGTATACATCAATCCGGTTAAATTACCGGACATTCGCTTTTTGTCCTCTCAGTCTCGTAAACAACAGTAATGTCGAGAGAAGGCAGTGAGTAGGACTTCCCTGACAGTGGTTGTATTGACTTGGCCATGTGAGAGCATTCGGAGAGGGAGATTTGACTCTTTACACTGTAAGCCGTACCACGGTATATTGTTTATAGTGATATCTGTTTTCATACTTAATTGACTCCCTTATAATAATGCAGTGTATGTATTTAAAATATGTTTAAAGAAGTTTATCCACTGTATCTTTAATGTTGTCTAAGCTTATAAGCGAGTCACGCTTTTAGTATTGATGAAAATATCCGATTATATTTCAACCTTTGTTTTAAAAGCTCAGTTTCTCTGACGTAATTCCTAATTAAAAGTTATTTACTGATTTATCTGAGGATGTTAAATGAAATTAGACGATTTCCATCACTTAAAAATAGACTAATAGCTAATGAAATGCAAATGGTACTAATGATTATATACTAATCCATGGCTTACTGATCATTCAGTCTAGATATCTTGTAGGTGTAACCATGGAAAGCTATAGGCACCACTAAAAATTCCTTTGTCTTTACAAATTATTTTTTTTCCCAATAGTTTCGCTATTTATCATTTTCCAACCATTGAAAATAGTGAAGGTTATTTATCTAATGTAAGTTTATGATATAAACTGAATATATTGAACGATCTCTGTGTATGTGTGTGCTAAAACAGATCGGATCTAATTTCGATAATGTAATAAGAAGAGGAAGATTATCAAAACTATGTGATGATATATTGGTGCAAAACATTTTGAACAATCTGATCACACATTACATACATTTATGTATATGCAGAAACCAATAGAATCAAGCGACCTAATAAGAGTAGAGGATAAACATCCATCATCCTCTATTGCTAAATATATAATCGTAAAAGGTCATAAGATTGATCTTAACTCGGCTTTTATGGTATTTCACTGGTTGAAATCATGAATCCATTGAAGCTAGACCACCATGGAAAACTTCAACCAATCCACGAAGTTGCGCCACCGTACACCATTGTCTTCAGTGAGCTGATATCTCACAACAGACCTGGTTGAACTCCACTGGTAACGGCTTCTCACTAGAACTTCAGGAGTATCTCTTGAAGTCAGTCACTAGTGAGCAGATGATTATTATTATCAGAAGGGATTGTGTGGAGATTTTAGAAATTTCACTGGTTGAAATCATGAATCCATTGAAGCTAGACCACCATGGAAAGCCTGGAAGCACTGGACGGCCGTTTCGTCCTAGTATGGGACTCCTCAGCAGTGCGCATCCACGATCCCGCTCCTCGCGAGATTCGAACCCAGGACCTATCAGTCTCGCGCCAGGCGCTTAACCAACTTGACCACTGAGCCGGCATCCAACGATGTTAATGTCTAACTTCAACCAATCCACGAAGTTGCGCCACCGTATTGTATAAAAGGGTATATACTAAGATTTATTGAAGCCTTAACCATACGAAATTTCAAACCCCCTTTGTGTATTCAAAAAACAGTTTGTTCTCACCTTACACTTACTCTGGTAATATTGGCTTATTATCCAAAGTGACTAGGTTTCAAATTGTGTCCACATTATTATTATTATTATTATTACTTTTATTATTATCCTTGTCTCTTCTTACCCTCCATTTCCAGTCTAGTTGACCTTTTAGTTTTCATATAAAAATGTTCTTAACAAGTAATATTATGTGTGATCAGATTGTTCGTAATGTATTGCGCTAATATATATCATCACATAATTATGATCATCTTTATCTTCTTATTACATTATCGAAATTTATCAAAAGGGACTAATTACTTTAGAATTTTATTTTATATTTATCTCCACATTGTACATTTAAGTATATTTCCATTTACACCTCTATGGTTGTTTAGTAGATAAAATATTAATGATTCCCATTGTAAGAATGAGAACAACAACACATGTAAGCGAACAATATTTATTACGTCACCAACTTGTACTTTTACCTATTATATACGGTGACATAATCTATTGCATTGTGATTATTGACTCAAATTGGCTTGATTGGTTTAACATTTTCGTATAAATATTACTGTATATTAGAGTAAATCCTAATGACAATCTAATTGAAAAAAAATATTATTCGGTTACATGTGTTGTTTTAGTAGATTAAAGTTATCACAGTAGTGTAGATTAAACTTAATTTTATAAACTATTTCTTGATCATACATCGAAACTCATCTCACTTTTTCTCTTTTTCCATGTAGTACATTTGTTTGCTAGAATTAAATTCATATTCTATTTGAACATAGACTGAGATGAATAAATATTTTATTGAATACATGACTTTTCCCATCTCCCTCCAATCGATTAACTAATAACGTATTCAACGGTATTAGTCTATTTTTAATGTTTTGTATTTGTCTGTTACTGTGGATCCTATTGCTAACCATAGTCCAAACATGCTAAAACTCATAATCAAAATGAATTATCGAAGCAATCCACTCAGAATGCATATATATTTCACTAGAGAATAACTGACTGTCTTACCACTTACATGATCTATTTGTAAATGGAAGTAATTGCTGAGTTTTAATAAATCATGTTACAGAACGAATTAATTGATGAATCAGACATCATTAGACCTTAACATTAGAATTATTTTTATTTTTAATTGAGATCATGAACCGGTTGATGTTAGACCACCATTGAGAATCTGGAAGCACTGGACCGCCATTTCGTCCTATTGTGGGACTCCTCAGCAGCGCGCATCAATGATCCTGCCCGCGGGATTCGAACCCAGCGCCTTCAGTCTCGCGCGCGGACGCTTAACCTACTTGACCACTGAGCCGGCATCCAACGGTGTTAATGTCTCACCTCAACCAATCCACGAAGTTGCGCGATCATCTTCCATTGTACTGAGGTAGACATCTGTTTCTATCCGACACGGATTAGCTCCACTGGTCACGACTTCTCACCAGAACTCCGATAATTTTCTCACGAAACTTGTCACTAGTGAGCTAAATTTCTTTAGAGTACTATCTCTCCAGTATGTACAACTAGTTGACTGATCAAAGACTAGTTAGTTTCTAGAACACTGAGCCGGCATCCAACGGTGTTAATGTCTAACTTCAACTAAACCAGTAGGTCCTGGGTTCGAATCTCGCAGGGGGCGAGGTCGTGGATACGCACTGCTGAGGAGTCCCATAATAGGACGAAACGGCCGTCCAGTGCTTCCAGGTTTTCCATGGTGGTCTAGCTTCAACTGACTCACGATCTTAATCATTGAAATTACTACAATCTCCACAAAAACCCTTCTGATACTAATCATCATATGCTCACTAGTGACTGGCTTCAAGAAGTATATCCTGGAGTTCTAGTGAGAAATAGTGACCAGTGGAGTACAACTAGGTCTGTTGTGGGATAGTAACTCACTGAAGACAATGGTGGATGTGTCGCTCAATTTCGTGGATTAATTGAAGTTAGACATTAACACCATTTGATGCCGCCTCAGTGGACTAGTTAATTTACCTAATCTAGTTTCAATAACGGCTGGAATAATAACTCGAAATACTATTAGTCTTGATATATTGTGCTTTAAAGTTATGGTACAATTAAATCAGGATCTATGAAGCTCGCAACCTGAATGGTTGATTCTCAAGGACACAATAAAGAATTCTATAAATACTCTCTATTTCTCCTCTATACTATCGTTAATTAAAGTGTGAATAAACATTTAACTTTTGTCTTTTCATTAGTTGAGGGCATAGTCCATGGTCATTTGAAGAGTATTTTGTAGTATGTTTATTTATTGAGTTAATTTGTACTTTCATTATCAGGGCAATATTTCAATCTGTGTAATTGCTTGCTGGTCATAACAGTCCATGACAAATGCTATCTTCAAATTCCTTCATATTATTAAAAAGGAAATTAATACAATTTGTAATATTTATTTATTTATTTATTTGAGCACATAAATATTCATACAAAGAGGCGCCGAATACATATGAGCCACACAAGTCAAATGATTTGTGTAAAGACTGGGTTACTGTCTGGGTGCTCAAACTTAAGCAGGTGGTTTTCTTAGGAGCCACTCCTAAAGCCTTTGACGTAAAGGTCTAATCCACAAGGCAGTGGAGCAACGTCAGGAGATGCAGTTCTATGGTAGGCGGTGATCAACGAGTGGCTCATATGCCATTCGTTTCCTTAGGATCCTGCAGCCCATATGCACCATTGGTTTGGAATGAAGGTTTTCCGACTCCTCTAAGTGGATCCTCCGTATACACCAACCCGGTTAAATCGCCGGATATTCGCTTTTCGTCTTCTCAATTTCGTAAAAAACAGTGATGTCGCGAGAAGTTAGTGAGTAGTAATGTCCCTGTCAGTGGTTGTATGCACGTGGTCATTTCGTGATGGAGAGCTGACTGTCTCCACTCTCGGCCGTATCGGGCATTTGGGGGCATTTTTTACCACTTGCATGAAATTCAGATGTCAATCTAACTGTAATAAATAAAACTAATTAATTATACTTTTCAATAATTTAGGCAAAATCTCCTGAAAATGACTGTTCGTACTTGTCACGTATAACCTACTCATGGTTCACAAGGTGAGTTAGTACAGTATTTTTTGGGGGGGATTATTGTCGGCGATATTTTAAAATTTATATTTTTGATGTTTACATTTATAATCATAGTGTATTTTTTAAGAACTTCTACACATCCATTATTTTAATGAATGATGATTATGCTATATCATCTCTTAAGTCTAAAGATATCATAGTCGATACAACACCAAAAATCATAGATGTGAAGCTTTTGGAAGCCCTAAATAAAGATAGTACGATGATCCAGTATTTTATATTCTGGTGAATCTGCAAATGATGTCAGTCTGTGATGAGAACATTTTGACGAAATTAACTAAAGTAGATTAGTGAATATTTCAATGTTTAATGAAATTAATCAGGACAATACCAGCGGTCTAATTTATTCAAAAAGGTTTATAGTACTTTGTGAGAACGAAACTTATAATTGCCCGATAAAAAAAGAACAAGCTACAACAATACATACTATGAGGTGGTTTAGAAGGTTTTCAGCTAAGGTGGATAATCATAGTGAATTTGGATTGTCTGAACTGATGGGTTAGATTCTGAAGCTTTCATTGTCTACCTAGATAATAACATACGCATAAACATCATGTGGAATTGCTGTTGATGATTCTGTTTGAAGAGTGAGACAATAAAAACCTTCATGAATAAACTACACTTAGTTCAGACAATTCAAATTCACCGAAAATCATATACCATTGAAATAATCTTCATCTAGGTTATCTCAGTGTTCTACGTAACATGGTAATAACCCAAACAATTAATGGATTCTCAATTGAAATAAGTTCTGAAAACAAGGATCCTGTCAATCAATTATCTGAAAAAACTATTCCTTTTAAATAATGGATGGCGAAGAGAAATGTTTTCAAGGAAAAGAATTCCATTTCTTCATAGAAAATTATATTGCATAAGCGTTACTTCAATTCTTATTCATGTCGTTATGCCAAAGCTCAAGCGAAACTACAATTCGTTATAGAACAATTTCAGTTGGATGCATAGAATAACGAATAGAAATTAGTGTATGATAGTGAAATAGTAATAATGGGAGAAGTAGTTCAGTTAGTAAAGGTACAACCAGGAAAAATTCTTTCAGTTAAAGAAGTTACATCCATTTTTTATAAAGAAAGTAAAATAAAGTTACATTAGGATCGCCAGTAACTTCTAGTCTGAGCTATATCTGATAACGTCTCTAGCCACTGTGTTGCACCACCTCTAGGACCCCAACTAGAGAGTTGTGAAGGACCGACATAAGTAATTCTTAACTAGGAATTTTTTTATGGTATTCAATCTTTGCCAATATTTCTTCAATTAACTATCAGTCTTTATTTACAAGAGGTTTCTAGTTGTCTATAAAGTTTATGTGTGAATGTTGGCAATAATGTAGAGAATCTGAATTGCTATTTAAAAAAATGAAGTAATTATGTCAATTATGGTGAGACTATAATTTATGGACGACGTTTGAGCGACATCAGACTTACCATGTGAGTATCCACCTGATAACTAGGACCGAATGAGGGTTATTAACCTGTATGAGGAATTGGATTTACGGTTTTCGTCACGAACTGACCGTCAGCTATGATGCCAAAACTGTATTTATGCAAATGGATGAGTGAATTTTACGCCAAAATCCTAGAACTGTTATCCTATACATGATTGGTTCGTCCATAAATTATAGTGTCGCCAAAAATTTTATTCAAACTTGTGCATATTTTAAGATGATGATGATAATAGAGATCTATAGGTCATGAAAATAATTTTTGTGAAATTGTGTTTGTTTTTTCTTGTTGTTGACTGATTGGATGGTTTAAACATAATAAAAACATTCATTGGCTTTCCAAATAGCAAAAGCTTCAGAAGTGAACTATTCAAATTCTCTACAGTCTGTATAATAACTTGTTCTGTTATCATTGATTTTGATTAGTAGTAGTGTGGTGTGTGCTACTTATGTAGTCATAAGTAGTATATGACATGAGTCGTGAACAGAATGTCTGGCAGCAGAGAGACGAGAAGATTGAACAGTAAAGAATGAAAACAGAACGCAATTCGTATGAAAATTCATTTACAAAGGAAGTCTCAGTCTTTTGAGACAATTGATGGACATTTTGCAAATTGTGCATTTACTATATGGTTGTTAGATTTTACTAGCTAGTTCTGTAAGTTGTCAGCACTGATGTTCTTGTTCACTACAGTAGTAGTAGTAGTAGTAACTCATAATATCATTGATTAGGAAAAATAGAATTCAGTGAAGAAATCATTCTCTTCTCAACGAAATCATTTACTTAAGCTGTATACTCGTTTAAATAGTTATATATGGAAAATATATGTCTATAAGAGGAAAGAAAAGATTGCATCATAAAATAAATTCGAGACTCGAATTATCAAATGAAGTTATGTACAAATAAAGGAGTAAGGAAGAAAAAAATTTACGGATCAGATAATTATCAGAAGGGGTTTTGTGGAGATTTTAGAAATTTCATTAGTTGAGATCATGAGTCAATTGAGGCTATACCATTATGGAAAACCTGAAAGTACTGGATGGCCGTTTCGTTATAGTATGGGACTCCTCAGCAGTGCGCATCCACGATCCCGACCCCCGCAATATTCGAACTCAGGACCTGTCAGTCTCGCGCGTGAGCGCTTAGCCATCAGACCACTGAACCAGCCGGCATCCAACGGTGTTAATGTCTAACTTCAACCAATCCACCAAACTGCGCCATCGTACACCATTGTCTTCAGTGAGCTGATATCTCACAACAGACCTGGTTGAACTCTACTGGTAATGACTTCTCACTAGAATCAGATAGTTGTTCAATTGACAGATACGAAGAAAAAACGACAAACATGAAGGTCATAATAATATAAACTGAATAATAACCAAGAAAACTTGTTGAACGGTAATCATAATAACTGATTTGAGTTTAAAATTGCAAAATACTAATTTAAAAAACTTAATAATAATCAAATAAAAGTACAAAAAGAAAGAAAAAAACCATCCAGAAACATACCCATTTCGGGAATTAGGGCCACGGAATGATGAGGGGTTGGATGAATCATTTCTGCACGTAAAGTTCAGGCTTGAGTTCATGGATTGCTAATAGCTCAGTAGTTCATAAAATGTTGATTCGACATCTTTTTGATCCAATTCCTTTGACTCTGTAGATTATTTTAAAAGAGGAATTCTTTGAAGCGATGTGTCCACAGTTAATTAAATGTTCCTGTATAGAACTAGTAATTGTTTTATATTCACCTTTTAAAAGCCAAGCCGGATAGTGTTCTGAGATGGGTTTGGAAAGTGATCACTTTGTACGGCCTATGTAACGTGCCCCACATGAGCAAGTAAATTTATCCTTAACACATCCATGAATAGTAGACCGGCTTGAGTAAATGATTCGGAGCTTAACTGCGTAGAACGTTTTATTCTGACCAATAAATTATTTTCTTCCTTACTCCTTGATTAGTACGTAAATTCATTTGATAATTGGAGTCTCGAGTTCATTTTATGTTGCAATCTTCTCTATCTTCTTATAGACATATATTTTCCATATAACTATATATACAAATGTACAGCTTAAGTAAATGATTTCGTCGAAAAGAGAAAGATTTTTTCACTGAATCCTCCTTTACTAATCTTTACAATTTATGAAAATCATGAAAATCATTATTATCTCTTTTACTTTTTGTCTTTTATACTTTCTAGTTTAATCATCAAAGGATTTCGTAAACCTGTTGAATTTAACGATATATGGAGATTAAATTCACAGCATTCTTCAGAGAATGTATCAAAGATATTCTTAACTAACTTGGACAAATATTTAATACCGAATAAATCAACTAATAATTATCTGTAAGTTAATTCTTGTTTCATTTTCTATAAATCAATATTCTCAGAAGGGGTTTTGTGGAGATTTTTAGAAATTTCAATCATTGAAATCATGAGTCAATTGAAGCTAAACCACCATGGAAAACCTGGAAGCACTGGACAGCCGTTTCATTCTATTGTGGGACTCCTCAGTGACAGTGCTCATCCACGATCCCGCCCCCCCGCGAGATTCGAACCCAGGGCCGGCTCAGTGGTCTAATGGTTAAGCGCACGCGTGCGAGACTGATAGGTCCTGGGTACGAATCTCGCGGTGCGAAGTCATGGATGCGCACTGTTGAGGAGTCCCATACTAGGACGAAATGACCGTCTAGTGCTTCCAGGTTTTCCATGGTGGTCTAACTTCAATTAACTCATGGTTTCAAATGTTGAAATCAATATTCGTTTAATTACTACAATATATATCTTACTAATTAATTGTATGTGTACATGTAGGTTATCCGAGTTCTAATGAAAAGCCATGACTAGTGAATAGTTATCCATTGCAGCGGAGTAAAAGAGGTGCTCAATATATAAATTACTGATTATGAAAGCTAAGCAGCCTAAACGTTAAGCTCTCACCGCAAGATTAGGATGTTTAATGTTGAATGCACAGTGAGGTTGTAGATGTAAACTGTTGAAAAATCTTAATACTATAGATCGTACCTAAGGTCATTCCGTGATGTGAACTACGAAAACGTTACGTTACGTCCAATGTTTTAGTACAGTTGAGAGTTCCTATCAAATTTTCATCTATACAAAAACTAATGGTTAAATCATTTGGCTTTCATTTAGTAAGTTGTAAACTTACGATATTTACTTCGTTTTGTATAAGCACGCATTATTATTAACCCTTTAATGTGCATAAAATTTCTATTTAATGAATTGCATTCATGTTTATTATGTCATTCAATTTAGTGGCTAGAATGAATTCTTTAGGAAAATAGCTAATGGTAAACTAAGCAATTATAACTTAAAAATACAATAATGTACAAGATTTCTTATAGATTAGTTATTATCAATGTCCTGGTACGGCCGAGAGTGGGGAGAGTCCACTCTCCCTCTCCAAATGCTCTCACATGGCCATGCGTATATAGCCTCTGCCAGGGAAGTCCTATTCACTGCCTTCTCGTGGCGGGGGTGTTGTTTACGAAAATGATAGGACGAAAAGCGAATGTCCGGCGCTCTAACCGGATCCCAGACCAATGGTGTACACGGGCTGGCTCCAGTATCCTGAGGGAATAAATGGCGTATGAACCAATCTTCGGTCACCGGCTCCCATGGGACTTCATCTCCTTACGATGCTCCACTGCCTTGTGGATCAAATGTTCAGGTCAAAGGCTCGGGGTGTGGTCCCCTAAGAAAACCACCTGCTTTGGTCTTGGCATCCGGGCAGTATCACAGCCCTCACACATATCAAATGAGATCTGTGTGGCGCGTATGTATTTGGTACCTCGTTGTACCAATATCTATGTGTTAAAATAATAATAAATAATAATAATATCAATGGTAAAATAATTACAAACTAGAGTATGGAGCCATTGTCAATTACTGTTTTTAAATATAATACTGACATTCAAGATCCTTTTTTGTTTGTTTTTTTTTTCTTCTTCAATTATTGTTAACTTCAATTAAAAATTGTATTAGTATATTGGATAGATGATTATTATGTTGATATATAAATGAACTTTAATCAATAAATGTAGAGTATTTACTGTTCAATTTGTATATCCTATGTCTATCTCACATCATGAAGAATTCCTGTCTAGTGCTTCATAGTTATCTTTGATTATTTAACTAAGGTTATTATTAGAGGAGATTAAATATTATTGGATTGTAATAAAGATGAAGTAGATAGACAGAATATTTTTGTCTCAATAAATTAATGTATTTTAAAAAAACATTGGATTACATAATCAAAAGAGGATATAAGGAAAATAATCAATTTCAAGAAGAGGAACTTTATCAAACAAAATGTTTGTTTGTTTATTTTTTCTAATAAAAATAAAATCTCAATAATGATGTTATAATAACTGTAGAGAGAATTGATTGAAGTTAGACATTAACACCATTGGATACCAGCCAGCTCAGTGGTCTAGTGGTTGAGCACTCGTGCGCGAGACCTATAGGTCCTGGGTTGGAATCTCACGAGTCGGGATCGTGGATTTGCACTGCTTAGGAGTCCTTCAATGGGACAAAACAGCTGTTCAATACCTCCTGGTTTTCCGTAGTGGTCTAGATTCAATTGATTCATGAATTCAATTATTAAAAACTAAGTCATTTTTTTCTCTTTTTTCTTAATGAAAATTCAGGCTTTATTTTGCAGGTAAAATTGTTGTGAATTTTTCTAAAGTCGAAAACGAGAACATCTTGGATCAATTTAGATGGATTCTATAAAAAAAAATGGTGAGACTATAATTTACGGACGACCTTTGAGTGACGTTAGACTGACCTTGAGGCCGTCCACCTAATAACTAGTATTGAATGAAGGTTAGAAACCACTGTGAAGAATTAGAATTATGATTTATAGTTGATGTTTAAGGTTAGGATTTAGATTGGGGGGGGGGGTATCACGAACTGACCATCAGCTATAATGGCAAAACTATTTAGCCAAATGGATGAATGAATTTCGCGCCAAAATCCGAGACCTGTTATCTTATAAGTGATTGGTTCGTCCATAAATTATAGTTTCACCAAAAAAATATTCAAATCATTACGAAATAATTGACTATGATCACAGTTAAATAAATATTCAACGATAGTAGAATCTATAGAGTATTTACTCTGACTATTCTGTAATCTCACTGGTTGAAATCATGAGTCAATTGAAGCTGAACCATCATGGAAAACCTGGAGGCGGGGAGCGGGATCATGGGTGCGCACTGATGAGGAGTCCCATACTAGAACGAAACGGCCGTCCAGTGCTTCCAGGTTTTCCATAGTGGTCTAGCTTCAATTGATTCATGATTTCAACCAGTGAAATTTCTAAAATCTTCACACAACCACTTCTGATATTCTGTAGTTCATTGTCATATTTCTATTAAAGGTGAACGTTGTCTACATACAGTGTATAATACTTTATGATGTTATTATCTACACTAAATGATCTAGTTCTATAATCTTCTTATGAAATTATTATCAATATTGATACTCTCCAATTAACTATATTCACGTTGTGCAGAACATTTTCAACTCAGATCGATAGTTGTATGTTTGAGTTTTATAACCTGAATAGTTTAAATATAGAACATTGATTGTAGTTGTAGTTGGGAACAACATTATCAGCGCCTATATCATGTTGTCCGATTAAGTAATGCAGCTGTTAGGAAACGGGTACTAGGCAAGGATGGCAAATCAATTGATGAAGTAGTGAAACTTCACCAGTTGAGATGGCTAGAACATGCATTACATATGTCTTTTTTTCTCTTTCCAAATTATTTTCACTGTATTATACTCCTTGAATAACTTCTTCAAATCCTAATCTTTCCGATTAGTGCTTATGCTCTTACTACCTCTACCACTATGGGATTTGAATCGAAAATTGTATCTGTGTGCTAATATAGTATGACAACTTGAACGGATATACGTCCGTACGTTGTTAGTGACTGACTAATACCATGTAGAAGTTTGCTTCTTAGTTATTCGACAGGCCTGCATATTTATGTTTATTCTGATGGCCTTATTTTTGAATGATTCTTTTCTCAAATTTCATTGTATTCACTTGTTTCTATATTTAAGTTAATTATCTTGTTGGGTTGATCTTCGGCTACGTGGTTGATGGACCTATTCCTTTGATTTGATTTGTAATGAACGAGAACACACGTCGGGACAATCGAATGTATTTGAACGCAAAATTACAGAACATCTTAGCAAAATCTGATAATCATACAGTAAATACTTCATTTGCAAAATATCAGTCGATCGTCTCTAACTTTACTGTTTCTTCATTTCCACAGTAATCATTTTCTATTCTCGATCTATTTTCTTCGATTTTCTTAACATTCTGCTATCAGACATTTGACTTTTGATTAATGATACGTACTACTTATATCTGTCGACATCAGTAGCACACACCATAGCGTCTATTTCGATGTGTCTGTTGATTGCCACTTAACTTAAATGCCATAATTCTAACTTTAATACATCGAAGAATCTTATTTCTTTGATCAAATAAGACTAAGATTAATCAATGAGTTTTGTAATATATAAGTTGTAAAATTGTTAACGTAACCTACTTTACTTACTTACTTACTTACGCCTGTTACTCCCAATGGAGCATAGGCCGCTGACCAGCATTCTCCAACCCACTCTGTCCTGGGCCTTCTTTTCTAGTTCTATCCAATTCTCGTTCATTTTTCTCATATCTATCTCCATTTCCCGGCGTAATGTATTCTTTGGTCTTCCTCTCTTCAGAAAGATCTGGGATGAGGAACAGGTACCAAAAGACTGGAAAGAAGGACTTCTAGTCAAAATGCCAAAGAAAGGCGATCTCAGCAACTGTGACAACTAGAGGGGAATCACTCTTCTCTCAATACCAGGAAAAGTCTTCAACAGGGTATTGTTAAACAGGATGAAGGACTCCGTAGACGCCCAACTTCGAGACCAACAGGCAGGATTCCGTAAGGATAGATCGTACACAGACCAAATCGCAACTCTACGGATCATTGTGGAACAATCAATTGAATGGAATTCATCACTCTATATCAACTTCATCGACTACGAAAAAGCATTTGATAGCGTGGACAGAACAACCCTATGGAAGCTTCTTCGACACTACGGCGTGCCTCAGAAGATAGTCAATATCATACAGAATTCCTATGATGGATTAAACTGCAAAATCGTGCATGGAGTCATTCATAAAGCGATAAAATTGACCTGTTTTATTAATTTTTCCAACACTTGTCTGAATATTTTGATGTATTCAGTTGTGTCTAATCATTCACTATTTTTGAAGTAGGTGATTTCTATAGTTTATCTCAGTTTTAATG